GGAGCAGGGAAGCTTTCCAGTCTGCTACCACGATTTAACAACTTCAGTCATCTTAACCTTAGCTTTGATGATGTAGAAGTATATGGGCTGATTACCAGTATCACTCACAAGTCTCTCAAGGAACTGACACTGAGTAGAATGATCCTGACTCCAGCAGCAGCTAGCCGCGGCGTTCGGTCGGTCACATCTTTAGAAATACTCGTGCTAGAAGCGACGTGGAATCATGGAAGTTTGCAAACTGTTCACATGGAGGCGCTGTTTGGCCGATTTAACAAAACACTGCCTTTGTACTGTCTTTCTCTCAGTGGTTACCTTGCTCCACTCACTAAAAGCTTTCGCTTTTTTTTCCTAATTTGCATTTTTTTGTACCTTAAAAATCTCAATATGGATGAGTTGAACTTATTTGTTCTGCTGGAGAGTTTAAGGTTCCTTCCTAGACTCGTGAATCTGTACGTGGAAGGCAAACGACTGGTTCTTGCAGATTCTGGCGCAGCGGAAGTAACTAGTTTTACACACAAAACTCTCAAGGAACTGACACTGAGGGGAATATGCCTGACACCAACAGTTGGTGCGATGCTCGGTCAGTTACTTCCTAAAATGCCGTCCTTAACAGTGCTTGAGTTAAGTGGGCTGGATGGAAGTGTTGTGCCAGCCAAACAAATGGAGCGGTTGCGTTACAGTGGTGGTTGCTTTGCTCCACTAACCAGACGTTTTTCCTCTTTCCCCAATATTTGACGTGGTTATCGCTTAAAAACTTAAACATTGATGAACATGACCTACTTAGTTTGCTGGAGAGCTTTCGGTTCATTCCTAATCTGGAAGTTCTGAACTTGTCAGGTAATCCACTCGGTCACGCAGTAACACCTATCGTGCCACATGTCACCAAATTGCGCCGAAAGCCAAGGTTTCTTTTCCTTGATGGAACTGGTTCTAAGGAAGATTTGAAAACTGTCAAACAAAAGTCCAAGAAGTCCATAAAGTCCAGAAAACAGCCACCCACCAATGAAGTGAGAAAATTTCACGGCTATTAGCAAATCGTGAAAGCAACGGCCCTTGAACAGTAAACACCCTTAGGTTGGAAATTTGAATAGAAACAAACTGTTTCTAGCTAATGTTTTTGCTTTGAATGACCCTTATTCCAAAGGCAATTACCACTGTCTGTACATAAGGATCTAAACCGGCGGTATTTCTGCAAGGAAAAAGCTGAAACGCCATTGACAGATTTCCACGTTGCGCTGTCGAAGCCCGTGTCGGACTTTCTTATCAGTAAAAAGCCAGGAACGTTCCTCGGAAGAGTTGAATTAAAACCTTAAAGGAGATCAATCTGGGCTTACCTTAAGCTTACTTGACCCCTGAAAAAAACACTGTTCTGAAACAGAAAGGGAACAAGCCTAGGGGGTGGGGGAGGGGGTACTCCTTTATCTGCGCTATATAGCTATGTGCTGCCCCAGAAGATATTGTTTTTCAGCTGTTTTGGTCCTAAATAGGGTATCGATTTTAGCTGATTTTGGCCATTTTGGTCATAAATAGGGTATGTGTTTTGCACTCTAGCCTTGATATGGGTATGTTTTTAAGAAGAAGCCACTTTTTCATCATTATCAACAAAAGCCCTTCACCAATTATGTTTACGGTAATAACATTGGTCTGAACTAGGGAACTAATTATAACGCAGGTCTGAAACAGGGTTTTGATTTAATGGTCAGGTCATAAATAGGGTAGGGAATGTCGCTGATTTTGGTTATAAATAGGATCAGGAATTTGGAAAGCGGGCTGCACACCCCCACTCAATTTTTCTGGGAATACCTCCCCCCTGGGGGGGGGGGGGCAACAAGTTAGAGCTATACAAACTAGTATGACGTAGAGGATGCCATCAAATGATTTATCAGTCAAGAAATGTTAGAAACTCAATCCCAGATTTGTCTTGACCATCAACAAGTCATGGTCGTAGGAGTTTTCCTAAACTGAGTTTCCAGCAGTGTAGCATGAATCTCTCATTAACCAAGCTTGCTCGACACCGTACTTGGGGTGTATCGAGCGGCCGGGGCTCCCTGCGCTCGGTCCGTACTGTCAAGACCTTGAGACGATAATCTACCAGAACAGCCCTCGCGCCTGCTGGTTAATAAGCTATATGAACCGATCTTATATCATGGGAAATAATTCGTTTTTTAAACGGGACGAAACAGTCTTAGCTCAATCGGAAGAGCACTGCACCGACATAGCAGAGGTCATGGGTTCGTATCCTGTTCAAGCCTGAATTTTTTGCAGGCACTAATTTCACAACTGCTTATTGAAATGAAAAACTGCGATGATCAATCATGTTTTTACGTCTTTCAAATTTAAGATCTTTCATATATTCACTTGCACAGAGCTACCTAGCAGTTATCAGACAGTGAGGGTACGTTAGGAATCTGATGACGCTTAGTTTCATTTTAGTGGCATTATGGCACAGTTATGATGATCTGTTCTTTGAAAAGAGGTAAAGTGTCAACAAAGGTATCTTTTGATGAACATAATGAATTTTTTATGGTGTTTTGGGAATCGGCCTTCCGCATGCAATGATACGCTATCAACAACTTTGAAGAGCCTAGCTTGAAATTTTACACAAAACTATGTTTAATTTATGAACATCTGACGGACCTAATTTAAAGGTGAGCAAAGAATTTTCCAGTGGTTAGGACAGAGTTTAATTTACTGGCACCATGGCAACAAGACAAGCTATATGGCTCGCATCGTAAGCAATTAATTCAAAACACAAAAGGATTGGTACCTACTGAAAAAAACAATCGAGATATCTCCAGGAAAAAAAAAAGCCAATTAAAATAAGCAAAACACGTACGATACATTGCGACAGAGACATGAAAAGGAGCTTAACTTAATTTGAAATATTTTACGAAGCTTATGTCAAAGTACATGTTGGTTTCTCACGGCCGACAAACATTTTAAATAAGTTTCGGCTCTTTTCAGAGGCCATACGTTTTATGTTATTTTCACGCTCCGAATCATGAAATCTAGCACAAGAGATCTCTTAATTCGCAGTGGTTTGGTCGGTTTGTTTTTGTTAACGGGAGCTGGAATTTTCCACGTCCTCGAAGGTCCGACAAAACATGAACACGGAACAGATGAAGAGATCGACAAGGCTACTTTGGAAAAATTGCGCATGAACTTGAGAGTAAACATGACAAAGGAAGAATTCGACAACTTGGTGAGCAAGCTTCACGAGTATTACCAAGACCACCATGAAAGATCTTCAAGTTATGAATGGACGTTTTATGCATCGCTTTATTTTTCGGCGAGTGTTGTTACCACAATCGGTAGGTATATGTTGAGCCTAAGAATGACTATTTCTCATTCAATCTCAGATAATCAACAGTAATTGCACGGTTTTGAATAGCGAGTACTGTAATTACTTATACTTGAAGCCATCACCGGCCGTAGTCGTTTAGTCATATTATTTGAAACGACATTAACCCTACGATCTTGGTCTTAAAAGGTTTGCATGATAAATCTATTTTTAATAACAAAACGTAACTCCACCTGAGTTTTTGAATTAACAACAAGGCCTTCAGTCGTTTTTTGATAGTTTTTCCAATTTGATGTCCGTACTTTTTTTATAATTTTCAAAATTTGTTTGTTACATTATTTTCGGTATTCTTCAATAACTTAGCTTTCCTTTCATGTCGACGTCTTTTGTGTGATGGTAAACTAAATATCAAAGCTTTTAATTATCTAGTATGTGTATTCTTAGAATGAAGGAAACTGAGAAAAATCCTAATTATTATAACGTATATTTTTTCCAATCGACTTCCGTTTCCCTTTGTTTGTTTGGTTTTTGTGTTTTTCACGTTTTCACTCATTCTCTTGTGTCGTGCGAGGTGCGTAAATTCATTTTCTTTGTAATTCTCTGAGTACCTGGGATAGTGAAATTTTTAATTTGGGAACGTGCTGCCTTGACAGTCTGGCAAGTTTGTAGTACGTTTAAGTTTTGTTAGAGTCACGTTTACATTTTGAGTTGTAATAATGTTTCAGTCTTCCATTTATTGTGTCAGTCAGTGTCTGCCTCAGCATGTCTGTTTGTCTATCGGTCGGTCGGTCCGTCCGTCTGTCCGTCTGTCTGTTTGTCTGTCTGTCTGTCTGTCTGTCTGTCTCTGTTAGCCAGTCAGCCCGTCAGTCAGTCAGCCAACAAGGAAGCCAGCCAG